GTAATTGCATTAGAATACCAAAACGAATATAAAGATTGCCAGTAGGTTGACTGTCATACGATGCAGCATCGATCGGAACAAGTGAAAAAGTTGCCAGTTGCAGAGCCAGTCCAGAAATTACTCAAGTATTTTGGTTAAAATAAGCGAAATGATAATTTCTGCAGAAAATTCTTTTAAAAAAACTCACTTTTTTTATTTTTTTACCGAGTATTTGTTGTGCTAAACAACTGCGTCACTTGAGATGGTCTGCTTGATGATCTTGGCGCTCTTCTTTTAGTTGTTTTTATCTTAAATTTATTCGAGTAACTCTTTTTACAAACTTTACCACCCCGCCATCAATTGTAGGCATCGGGCTGGAGGAAAAAGAGGCTAGCGAAAAGTAAAAGACACCTTCATTCGCTTGTTTTGCTGTTTTTGCAGCGAAATGTCAAATTTTTGTCATAATTTTATGTTTGTGTGACATTTTTTTCATGTTTGTTTATTCTGAGTAATAAATCTTCTATTTTCACCACAAAAAGTTTTGTAAACAAGCTAATGCGAAGTTATAAATCGTTTTATTTTAGAGGAGCAACAATAAGGAATATCCGAGAGCCTCTAAAATTGGTCTTATTTTTTTCAGAAATTGACTTGGAACGACCATATTACTTGGAGCGCCTATATGAAATAGATCAGAGTGAAAGCATTGCTTTCAACGTCAATTTACAACATGTCCAGGAATTCAGTGAAGCGCTGTACCGAAAAATTATCTGCTATCCAGCGGTATATTAATATTTTTTTTAAGCCGACTATAGCAACCAGTTTGACCCTGGAAGCCGAGATGGCGAAGGCGCGATAGATTACAGCATGAAAGAACAGTATGAGAAAAGAGGACTCAGTGAGATAAGACGTTTCGGTCCATTAAGTCATATACGTCTTAACACCGCAACTGGACCTCGTCAATTACATTTGTTGATTGCTGTTAACGAAATAACTAGCAAATATAGTAAATTGGCAAGTGTGTTGCTATTTTGCTTCATATGCAAGGTTCGTTTTCACCAACGAAACAGTCAGGCCCTTGTTCGATTGTTCATTCATTCCGATAGCAAATTGGTACTGGCATCATCTAGGTAAACGAAGTCACTACTGGCCTTCCGAAAAGCAGCCTTCGAAAGGAAAAGGCCTGCCAGGGATCATTGCTTTTTGCCATCTGTTTCCATAAAAGCTGCTGTGGAGTGCCTCTTATAGAGTATGGGTAAAATGGAGATTTTGACTATTTGGTTAGCAAAATAAAGTTTTAAAATGACAAAGATTAAGGGGTTTTCCTATAGAGATTTTTCATTTAGGTTGAAAGTACTATTTCTTCTTTTCTCCGACTGAGAACTGAGATTTTTCGAACCGTTATTAGGAGTTTTTCTGATCTAAATAAGATTTAAGGGGTTTTTTTTTCTGTTGAGTCGGAGAAACTGTATGTAGTAATTTGTGAAAGAGTTTTTGTAAGAGAGTAAAGACTGAGACAGTCGAAATTTTGATTCAACCGTCATTCGTAGTTTGGTTCTCCAGCGCTCTCAGCTTTACCTAAGCATCAGCTTCATGAATGAGAAAGTCTTTTGCTGATAATGGGCCAGTTGTTTTGCCCAGTGTTTCATCGCTCAGGCTACTGCTCCTGAAATTCATTTCGTCTTCTGAAAAAATTATCAGCCGTAACGTTTCTCTACCCAAGGAATATTTTCCCAGTGTTTATCAATACCAGTGACTTTCTGGTGTATGTACGCTGAAATTTTCATCATTTCGCCTCAAAGAGTTTTGGAAAATTTTTTTGAAATTAACACAAATTTTTTTTCCGTTTCTTATATACAGTGCGTAGGAATAATACCTTTCAGGATATCATTCCATACTTGGATTTGACAGTGAATGAAATTTTTGCCGAAAAATATCAAAAAGTGCTGTACTCGCCGATTGAGGTTCGCCCGTTCAATGCCGAGAAAACACGTAATATGCGCGCTCTGAACCCGGGCGATGTTGATCAGCTAATTACAATAAGTGGTATGGTTACACGAAAATCGCCACCAATACCGGAAATGCGACAAGCATATTTCCAGTGCAACACTTGCAACTTTTCGGTAAATTTCTTTTTTTTTTTTGCAGCTCTTGGAACTTGTACGAAACAGGGTTATCACGGTGCGAATGTTGAGGAAGTTATCGAACGATGATGGAGGGTGCTAAGATTTTTTCTGTGCTAAATTGGTTATCTTGCGGTTATTGACGAGCCAAAACACTCTTGCAGAGATACTTACTTGAATACTTGAGCAGATGTATGTCATCGACGTTCGTTGTCATGCCATCGATGCAGCACTGGCAACTTCTCCATTCAACTCATTATTGCGCTCTTCGAGACTACATGATACCACGCAGACGGTACTAAGGGGTCTCTTCACCTCACTGATGGTCTCCTCAGTGTTCGCTTGACCGTGCACGGGTACCACTCCATTATCGGCTTCGTCCATCTGTTCTTTGTCATCCATGCCACAGAGCCAGCCCATCTGTTCTTGCTAGCGACATTGCTTCGATAATGTCTTTCACGCCAGATCTGGCTCAGAGCACTTCTTTTGGAATGTGCTGCAGCCTGCTAGTGCCATCCATCCGTCAATCATCTGTAGCAATGGAGCATACAGAGATGATCCACCATAAGGCACTGATTATCTGGGATATCTAGTACAGCTGTTAATACGTAGTCCAGATCTGTGTCTTTGCAACTGGCAACTTCTCCATTCAGTACAATTTTGTGCTTTCCGCATCTGTGAAACTGCGAACATTTGTATTAGTAGAGATGGATACATTGGTATCAGTAATGGTCTTCGAATAAATGTTTCTTACATGTTCAAAGGCAATACTTTGTTAGAGATTTTATTTTTGATAAGAACTTATAGTAAAAAGGAATGAAATAAAGTGAAGAACGAAAAAAGAAAGAAATGAAAATTAGGAGATTTTGAGATTATTATAATGCTAAGAAGTGTTTCGGTCCATTAAGTTGTATGCATTTCCCTCCATTATCATTTTTTTTAATCCAACCAACGATATTCTTTTCAGACCGATGCGGAAGTTGATCGTGGCCGAATTGAAGAGCCAGTTGTTTGTTCGAATTGTCATTCAAGATATTCCTTCCAGCTGATTCACAATCGCTCACTTTTTATGGATAAGCAAATCGTTAAGCTGCAAGAATCTCCCGGTAAACAGTTCTAGTATTTCACATACAGATCAAACCTTAAGAAGATATCATGTTAAAGCCTTAAGAAGACCACTGAGATGTAATTGCACCACGATTCCACGTTGTCTCCTCAGCTGCTTGTTGCTTTTCATCTCTAGCAGGGCCACATCGCCACATGGAGATGCTCCAAATAAGACATATTAAAGGTCGAAAACCCCTCACTGCCCTGGCAGGTGGAGGCATTCGGAAGTAGCACTAATAGTTGTATATGCCAAAAACAACCACTCGCTGGCAGTGCGAGTGGTTGTTTTGGCATGCACAACCACTTTTTATTGACTCTCTCTTTTGAGGGTTGTAAGCAATTTTATGTGTACCAGTCTCTCTTTCACCAGTGATAGCGTCAGCATCGTTTATCTAAGTTGTGAATACGCGTTTTTATGCGGTTTTTTTGCATCTGTGCAATGCAAAAACGCATATTGTCGAGGGGGGTCTGTGTGCGTGTGTGTGTGTGTGTGTGTGTGTCTGTACCAAGTTAAATGGCGTTTTTGGGTTTCACTAAATATCAAAATTCAAATGTTCTTCTCTTTGTAGGCCTACACTGTAAACAAATTGCACATGCAGTCTCATGGTACGTCTCTACCCCGTCTTTCTCTAATCTTCTAATACTGTTAATTTGATTATTTTCGTTAGCAGTTTTAGTAGCATTCCAAAAAATTTTTCCAGCACTTAGTGGACCGAAACGTCTTATCTCACTCTTACCTTCTTTCCTTATACTGTTCTTTCATTCTGTAATCTATTGCGCCTTCGCCATTTAGGCTTCTTAGGGTCAACCTGGTTGCTACCGTCGGCTTATATAAAATCAGTATTCCAAGTTCTCTAATTCGCGGTAATAGAGAAGCTGTTTTTCAGATGATATGCCTGCCGGACAGACACCATACACAGTAACTTTGTTTGCGCATGGTGATTTGGTGGAACGTGTGCAGCCGGGTGATCGTGTTTCCGTAACGGGCATCTATCGGGCGCTGCCAGCACGGATCAATCCACGTATCAGAACCGTCAGTTCGGTCTATCGTGCGAGTATCGATGTGCTGCATTTTCGAAAAACTGATCAGAGCCGCCTTCATCAGCTGGATGACGGGTAATATTTCATTTTAAGCCATGAGCACAGCTGGGGCTGGAACTCGCTTTCCCTCCCTCTCCTCGCTCCTACCCTTTAAGCTTTGTTTTCACTTTATGTCGGAAAATCAGGCGATTTGTCAGTTTTCGGAAAAAATGGCCATTTTCAGCTTTATTGGCATTGGGCACTATTGGTCACTTTTACAGCTATTGGTGACTTTTATCTTTTTGTATTATAAACTGTTCAGCTTTCAATCGTCTTTTTTGTTCCGACTTTTTTTTTTGAGAGGCTTTTTTTACAGCACTTATTTGACT